TTAAAAATTTCAGAAGTACGCATTCGTGAACATTGAAACGAATCCATTTCAATGCCCATTTATTTTTGTATTTATTTATAGGAATTGAATGAAATTCATTTTTATGCCTTTCAATTTAGAAATAAGTTTTAAAAAGTGGATCGTGAATACTGCTAAATTCAAAATTTTGGATAGAAAATGCAGTTTTTCCAATCCAATGTAATTCAAATTCAATCCAATTTAATCCAATTGAATACAAAAAAAATTTTCCGTATGTGTGTGTGAAAATATTATTATACATACGGATACAAAGGCACTGGGCAATGGATTCATTTCAACGTTGACGAATGTGTACTTCTGAAAATTTCAATCCATTTTAATTCATTTTCGTTTACTGGGATGTACATGGTTTAATCAAAAAGTAACGAGAATTTTTAAATTTATCGAAAAGTATTCATTCAATCTTCAATGTTTATCCCATTCCCTTCAAAGTCTTTCTGTGTATTATGCCAACGTAGCTTCCAGTTTGAGAAACACTGGTGAAACTCTCTTTCGCCTTCAGCTCGACCGGCGATTTCGCCTTTATATCATCAATTGTTGAAAAACATTGTCCTTTGAGTGTCCTTTTGAATTTCGGAAATAAGAAAAAGTCACAGGAGGCCGTGTCTGGAGAATAGGATGGTTGGCATCACAACGGTATTGTGTTTCGCCAAGAACTTCAGCAATTTCGAAACAAATTTGGTTGCCACTCGTTTCACTGATGTTCAAAACATCAGTAAAAATCGCTTCGTATGAGCCATATGAGATTCCTATTTCTTCAGCAACCTCTCTAATGATGATTCTGTGATCAGCAAGTACAATTTCTTTAACTTTGTCCACGTTTTCATCACTGATTAATGTGCTAAACTTCGCGTCATCTTCGATGTCTTCTTGGCCTTTCTGAAAGTGTTAATACCATTCATAAACTTGTGCTTCACATAGTATCGACACTAAAGGCCTTTTTTAACATTTTGAACACTTCGCTGCACTTGATTTTGTTTTTTAATTGTTTTTAAAATTTCAGATAAATTCTCTGATCCGATATTTCGCTACATACAAAAAATTGCCGAATACACTGAAGTGCATCTTGCTTATTCGCTCGTCAAACACAAACTAAGCGTAGCTGATTGAAATTTGACACGTACTTCACTGGCAATATTACCATTGTACAAAAAAAAATTAACTCAATTGACAGTACGCACAATTCTAAAATTCTCGTTACTTTTTGATCTCGTACGCACGCATGCATGCACGCGCGTATGCACGATATATACAATTTGCTTGATAAATATTATCATTTCATTTTTTTATCGTTAGAATTTTTAAATCTAGGATCAATATTTTTTAATACAAAAATAATTAAATGACTAATATATTCAAGTTTTTAGAATTGTGAAAATTTATTTAATTTCGTTTTTTTGTTTTTAAAGAAAAAAGTTTTTAAGGCCGAAAATTAAAAATTATCTTGACATCAATTAGAAATTAATGTGCTTTTTTGAATAATATTAACGTTTGAAAAGTATTAATGACTAAAAGAGACAAGGAGCAAATTTCGATCTGGAATTAATTTATATAGGATAGTTAATTTATAATTATAACAAATGATGGCACACCTTGTTTAAGGAGGATCTTTACATCTTATGTAAAGATCTAATTATAAGGATAAATTTTAAAAGCATATTAAGAAAGAAAAAGAAACGTTTTACACAATATTTTATGTAGATTCAATGATATTGAAGTAATTTCTAAAAATAAATAGCTTATAATCTACAAGAGAAAGAACGTTCTACCGAGATTAAGCGTAAAGTAAA